AGTATGAAGGGCTTTCCAAAGCCCTTTATATGCATTATTTGATGAGAGCTTCATAACAACACTTGGAGTTATGTACTATTTTTATTATTATCCTCATTTTACATATGAAAGAACTGAGGGAGGCCCAGAAAGATTACATGACTTACCCCGAGCCACACAGGTGAAAGAGATGACATTTGAATTCAGGTCTCTACCTTTAAAATGCCAAGTTGACAGTTCTTGGGAGATGAAGGAGACATGCATCTCTCTCTGGCACTTTACAGTTGTCTTCTTGTAGCCTCCAGAAGGCAGATGGGCTTTAACCATGGCCTTCAGGATTATTTCACCCAGAAGGTCAGATCTGTAGTAATTGGCTTCTTTCCCAAATACAATTCGTCACTCAAAAGAGAGCCAGAGGAAGGACAAGGTGCTCTGAGATGAGTGGGTCGTTGTCCCAGTTTTACTCTCGAATAACCTACGTGAAGGGATCTGTGGGACTTTGTTCATGGAGAGTGAGTGAGGTGCCTCCCTATGCTTTGCTTTCAGGCACCGGTGATGAAGGGGATGGGCAGACGGTTGGGAGCACATAGCAGCTGGAAGCCCATCTGCTTGTCCACCCCCCCGGCAGGCGCCTCGATCGTTCCAGGCAGTGTTGGCGGCTCCAGGACTTAGGAACCATGCATCCCTGTTCTGTTTGTTCGTTTCTTTGGTCTGGATCAGTAGATTCCACACAAAGCAGACTCAGAAAACTGCCTGAATATGGTTTGGGACATGAAAGCTCATCATATTGATGAGCAGAAAAATAACCTTCCTTCCCCCTCTTTTCACTGAAATGCCACATTGACTTGTGACACACAACCCCTCCTTGAGACCTGAGGATTCCATTTCTTCAGTAGCTCATGTGGCATCGGCCTCCGGAAACTCATTTTGCAGCAACCTCAGGGCTTTAGCCGTAGCTCTTGGGTCTGTCTGTCGTCCTCCTCTTGTTACCACCTGACTCTTGGAGCCCCTGCCCAGCTGCAGGGAAGCAACACTGAGCAATTTCTATTCCCATAAATCATCACCCTCAAACTGCTCCACCTCCCAAGTTTGGGCTTCTTGGAGAATGGACAGGCTGAGTATTTTGCATCTTGTCCATCTCACCACAAGGGCAATCTGGCCAGCCTCAAGGCCCCACTCTTTCCACTGACCCCTGTTGTTCAGGTCCAAGCCCCCAGGTAGCATTGAAGGGTCCAGTGGGTGTTTCACTAACTCCTCCTTTCCCTCTTGTGTCCAATATCATTTTGGGGGGTTTCTGTTGTGCTGATCCTTTTTTTAAAAGGTTTATTTTTTTTGTTGTTGTTGGTTTTGAATTTTTTTTTTTTTTAGTTTTTAATAAGATGCCCTTGTGTGTTGAGAAAGTGAAGCTCTATTGTTTTGTACTTTTCTGTTACTATTTAAGGGAGAGCTAAGCCACTCTATATAAAATAGATGTTATATACCATTTGCTTAGTCGTTTCTGTTCTGGCCAGGTGCAAGTTCACTGATAGATGCCCCTAGGTTGCCCAGTAACAACAGCTAGTGGGGAACACCTGTTAGCCTCCCAAAAGTAATGGGTCTTTCCAATAGGGGGGCCAGTCATGGAGCTAGCATCTTTTGGAGTTGTTTAAAATTTTTTTTCTTTCCCCCTTCCTTTGATATTTTGATACAGTGACTCCTTCTTTTCCCTTGCTAATTCCTATTTGCATGAACACCATCATGGGAGCAGCTGAGATTAGGATGCTAAAGAGGTTGGGCTCCCTCCCAGTTCACCAACTAGAGGGGAAAGGGACTGTTTTTCCAGCTTAGTCTTCCAATATGGGCAGGATGAAGGGAGGGGAATTGCTCAGCCCTGGCCTGTTCACTTCAACCCATGCCATATCAGCTTCACGTGTCCTTCCAGCCTATGGCAAAAACTAGAGATAACCCCCAGACTCACCCCCACTGTGCCAGAGAGAGAACAGCTACCCCATTGACCAGCATCAAGAAAGAGTTTGGCTTACAGGATATAATCCTGATGTACCCCTCGAGTTTAGGGACGGTTAGAAGTAAATCTATGATACTTTTTAACACAACTGGATTTGACTTGAGTTCTTGGTGCCCATCACAAATAGGACACTCTTCCTGGTCCTTCTCACAGTAGTGGGAACTGAAATCCCCTCCATCTAGGATTTTCTTTGGACTACTCTCATTATGGGACTGTTATTAGCAGTTTCTCTAGGAGGCAATATCCCAGTGGTGCCATCAGACCTGGGCTGCTAACAAATAACTTTGTCATCTTCTGGGCTTATTCCCTTTCTCCCCTTCTCTCTCCCAGCGCTGCCTTAATATCAAGACATTTAAACACATTTTTAAATTAGTTAAAGCCCTGCCTTGGATGACAAAATTCACAGGTCCAGGGTCCTCAGGCTCTGCAGGTGAGCTTGGTGCTGTTTCTTCACCTTTCCCAACCCAAATGGTCTCATGCTGACTTGGCCAAAGCCCAGAAAGAAGATGGGACCAGTAGGTTTTGGATTGTGTTGGAAATATCCAGCCATACTCCCACAGAGATCTCACCCACTGATAGGGTCATTCTTCAAACTTGTCAGCGCTTAGTGGGAACGTGCAGCTTCATGTGAAGGTCTTGCAGAGTTCTTTCTGCATAGTGAAAGGGGACAGATTCCACTTCAGCCAATATAGGAAACTTCTTGTGAATTTCGCCCAGAATTATCTTGAAGCCCAATCCAATGAGAGACGTAGGCCAGAGCTAAACTTTATTACACTTCCTGCTTTCAGCCTTAGAAAACTAGTGACAGGTAAAACCAGATAATGCCCATGTGTTTTGGAAGATTTATGTAAGACTGTCATATGAAATGTATTTGGGAATTACATTAAAACTTTTAACAAAAACTTGGGTCTGCTGCCTTGTGCTCTTTGCCACACAAGAATAGAGATTAGTTTTTCTGAGGGAAGCTAAACTAACATTCTCACCCTGACCAGGATGGGGTTCAGAGACCTTGTAGGATCTTTATAATAGCCTCTCGACTTTCCAGATATTTCTCAACAATAAAATTAAGAGTGCAGACAAAGATCACCTGAAGCCCCTTCTAGTTCTAACAGTCTGATTCTGAGTTTGCAAAATGAAGGGGGTCAAACTAAATAAAACAGACACAGGCCCAGGAAAAGAAGCCTGCTCGAGTTCAGACAGATCAGGGATAACCTGGTCATCGATTCCTAGTCCTGTAATCTCTCCTCTTTTCTTTCCTGTCTTACAAGTCTGGACTTTGGCTCTTCTGTTATAGTCATTCCTCCCCAGGTAGGAGGAAAGCTTTCAACTTTGAGTCATCCTGGATCTAAAACCTGACTGCCATGTCCTACCTCTGTTTCTTCCTCTGTAAAGTGAAAGGCGGGAAGGGCTCCCTTCCAGCTCTAACACTGTAGTTAGTTCTAGGACTGTTTCAGGGAGTGATCATCACTCTTGAACTGAAAGCATTCCCTGGAGCAGGGCCATCTCTCTTCTATGTGTTAATCCAGAGCCAGAGCCCACTGAGCAATAGAAGTTCCTCTTAGCAGAGAGGTCATGCTGCTCTTTGAACCGGGGACCCTCAGCTATTCCTCATCTCTCAGTATACCCTCTTAGGAGAATCCAGGTTGACCAGACAGCCTTGCCTAGCTCAAGTATACTGTCTAAAGAGTCTCTGCCCTCCCAGTAGATGTGGACTCAGATGAAACAGAGCTCCAGAGATTGTGACTTACAAATCCTAGACCCGGAGCTCGAAGAACCCTGAAGGGCCATCCCCTCTCCTTGTATATTTTTTATTTTTATTTTTTTAAATTTTATTTTATTTTTTAGACAATGGGGTTAAGTGACTTGCCCAGGGTCACACAGCTAGTAAGTATCAAGTGTTTGGTCTGAGGCCAGATTTGAATTCAGGTCCTCCTGACTTCAGGACCGGTGCTCTATCCACTACCCCACCTAGCTGCTGCCCCCCCCCCCGTTTTATAGATGAGCAAACCAGGGAGGTCACCTAACGTGGCCAAGGATACGTGGGCAGTGGATGAGCTGCTGAGGCACCCCTCCATTCCTCTTAACTCCAGAGACAATGCTTTTCCCACTGTCTATGCCACAGGCTTCACATAGCTAGTAAGAAGCAGAACTAGGACTCAGCATTCATTTTTCAAGTGATGCCTTCTTTCCTGGACCCCTCCCCCAGTTCCTGCCTGAGCAGGGCAAATGCTGAACATCTTCCTCCCTCTCAATTGTCTTGTTGCCTTCTTAGTGTCTTCAACTCTCTTCTCCCACCCCATCCAATACCAGTGTCATTGTACTCCCACCAAATACCTTTGAGCAGGATCATAGAGATTTAGTCCCTCTCTGATTAGAGATGGAGAAACTTAAAATGCATCAAGGTTAAAATGACTCGTCCGAGGTTATAGAGGTAGTGGTAGCAGATAAGGGATTCCAATCAATCTTCCATCCTCTGCCAGCCAAGGGGAGGGGCCTTTGCCACCCATATCCCACTCACCCCTCCAGACTCAGCCACCTCCTTAACCTAGAGCTTTCTCTGAACATTGTAGGAATGTGGGAGCAGGAGGGGAAGCATCCCTTCTGGGAGAAATGTGTGCCCAGGAGATTTCATCTCACAACATCAGAGCAAAGAAGGAATGTATTTTATCCAATCTTATGTCCAAGTAGGAATTCCCTTTCTGTAGCCCACCAATGTTTCCAACCAAACATCATCCAGGTTCTGCTTAAAAATCACAATGAGGGTAGGGGGAGGACATTCTGCTTTGGAACCACTTGTATTAGGAATTTTTTCCTTTTATCAAGCTGAGAGCTGCCTCCCTTTACCTTGCGTTTGTTGTGGCACCTAGTTCTGTCCTTTGCAACCAAGCAAAGCCAATTTTACCTCTTCCCTAGAACACCTCTCCAAATACTTTTAGCTAGGTTCATGTACCTCCCCTACCCACAGTCTCCTGCCTCCTGCCACATCAGTTTAATAATGAACAACAAGCCAACAAAATTGCGAGGCCAGGAAGCATGGATTTATTTCATTTGAAAAGCACAGGTACAGGGGGGCAGATTTGGAGGAGAGGGGGAGGGGTAGAGTTTCCCAGGGCAAACAAACCAAGCTGACTGGAGGGCCACAGCCTGAGCTAACAGCCTTGTGAGATGAGGGCAGGGATGGGAGGGCCAGTGATGAGTACTGGGTCTGGATAGCCTTAGGAGAACTGGATTTTAGGGGAGGAAGGGGCCTTGGAGATAAGCCAAATAGGTCTGTGTGGTGTAGGACTGAATGGCAACCCCAGGTCAATCACTTCATCCGTGGAAGGGACTGGACTGGGTGATCTCTTGAGTTCCCTTCTGTACCAAAGGTCTCGAGGAAACTGAAGCCCAGAGAAGGGAAAGGACTTTACCAACACAATTGAATGGGTCAAAAAGAGGTAGAGTCAGGGTTTTCATCTGTTTCCTCTGACTCCAAATTCAGTGGTACTGAAATTTTTCCAATTATCATCTCAAGGAGTTGGCTGGGTGTGGAGGTGGTTAAGCTGATGCAGAGAAAAATGAACTGACCCACTGGGATCGGGGAGGGCAGGGGAGGATGGCTCTACCCTAGTCTAGGGCTGGGCCTCTGGTTCCTTCCTTTGGGTCTGGGAAGCATTGGTCACAGTTGCCAGGCACTGGTCATCATGGCCACAAACTCTTCATCTGTGTCCACAGAAGCACTGATGCCACTGTAATAATCCAGGAACTCTGCCGCAGTGACCTGCAGGGGAACAGAAGGAGTCTGCCATCCCTAGCCTGCCCTGTTCTTGCCCATCTCCGTGCCCTGCCGTGTCCCCTTTAGTGTGGAAGGGGAAGGTGTCCCAGGCACCAAGAAGCAAGGCCTTGCAGCGTGGTGAGAAGAGCACTGGCTTGGCATCCTGGCCCTGCTTATTAGCTGCACACCCTGGAATAAAAAGGGCCTTAGATTCCTCCTCATAAAAAAGAGGAGCTTGGACTAGAATCGGGGCATCTTCACCTTTTTTTGTGATGGATCCCCTTGGCAGCTTGGTCAAGCCTAGGGACCCTTTCTCAGAATAATGTTTTTAAATTAATAAAAAAAATAAAATACATAGGATTACAAAGGAAACCAGTGGTGTTGAAATATAGCTTTCAGAATTAAAAAAAAAAAAGTTCCTAAACCCCAGGTGAAGAACCCCTGGATTAGATGATCTTTAGGGTCCCCTGAAGCTTTCATTCTGACAAGCTCTTCTAACTCCTAGAGAACAGAGACACTTGATGAACTGAGCATATGTGCATGAAGCCAAGGGGCCAGACCAGGGGCAGGTAGGTGGGACAGAGGCCTGGCTACCTGCCCATCCTTGTCACCAACATCAAAGTTGTCCAGAAAGTGCTGGAACACGTCATCCTCAGTCCACTCGCCCCTCTGAAATTTGGGGTGTTTCCGGCCACTGTAAATGCCCCGAAGGTCATCCACAGTCACCACGCCATCTCCACTTCTGTCTAACTTGGCAAAGGCAGCCTCGATGACATCCTTCCGGGCCTGAGACATGGGTGGCTGGGGGGGTGAGGGGAAAGAGCAAAATTCAAAATTTGGTCCAGGTGGGAGGGGAAGCAGGAACCTATGGAAAGATCTCAGTTGTCTGGGAATCTATAGGTTAACAAAGAAGGTGGCACACAGTGGGATCATGCGAATCTGGTCTCAGGCCTTTCTTTTGCCTCTTCCTTTGTGACCTGGGCAAGTTAGTTCTTCTGTGTGTGTGTCATTTTCCTCTTAGGTGAAGGGTTGGGGGGGAGGTTGTGGGACTCTTGAAGGGGGAATGTCCCAATATCTGTTTGGGGAAAAACCCCATGTTTGGGGGTGGTTCCCCCATAGAAAGCAGGGAGTAAGAGTGGCATCCTCTGGTCCCACGTTAACAACTACCTATTAGACATATCCACCCGGATGACCCATGGGCACCTCCAACTCAGCATGTCCCAAACAATTCAATCTTTCCCCCAAATTCCAGCCTTCTAAACTTCTCTGTTTCTCTTCAGGTTGTCACCATCCTCTCCATTCTCACCCTCAGAGACAACCTCTGACTTCCCAATCTCCTTCACCCCACCTAGTCTGTCAGTTTGCATCTGTCCCCTTTCCTCCAGTTTAGAGCCTCCTCACCTCTCACCTACATGAACTGTCCTGCCTGTTTCTAGACTCCCTTCTCCAGTGCATCTACCTCCCAGCTGCCTAAGTGAAGGTGCTGGATCACAGGTCTAGGTCCCTTCCCTTTAGGGAAGCCTTTAGGATAAAATACAGATTCCTCTGTTTAGCTTAGCATTTCACCACCTGGCCCAACCTCCCTTTCCTATTTCACATTCCTCCCCTTTGTGTCCTCCCTGAAGCCAAACCCACCAATCTGCCACTCCTCTTAACATTTCCATCCCAATTCCTTGGTGTGAGCTAGCTCCATTCTTGGAAGGTACTCCCTCCTCCTCCCAGAATGCCTGGTTGGGTTTTTTCCCCCTCAAACATTAGTTCCAGGCCATTTCCTCCAGGCCTTTCCTGCTGTTAATGCCTTCCCCACCCCACCCAAATTACCATGTATGTAATTTGTATAGACTTTGTACTGACTTTTCAGTGAATATGTTTCCCCTAATAGAATGTAAGCCCTTGGAGAGCAAGGACTTTGTTTTGTGTCCTTGTCTCTCTAGAGTTTAGCCCAGTGCTTGGTTGGCACAGTAGACACTTAATAAATGCCTTTTGAGTCTATGTTTAGGTGGCCCACCTGGGTGCAGGGAAGCTCCCTTTCCTGTAAGAACTACTCCCAAGAGGAATGAGTATCCTCACCCGTAGGGCATGAAGAAACTCCTCCAGGTCTAAGGTCCCATTGCCATCACGGTCCCAGTGCCTGCAAATATGCTCAGCCTCACCAGCCTCCAGTGCCAGCCCCATCTCCTGCAGCCCCCGATGCAGCTCATCTGCATCTAAGGCCCGGCTCCTGTTGGTGTCCAGTCGGCGAAAAAACCTAGTGGGTTGGGGAACAGAGAGGTAGCTGGCTGCTGGGCAGAATGGACCTTAGTGGGGCCCAACCAGAAGCTTCAGAGGGAGAATTACCTGGCCAGGCCTTTGATACCAGATGCCCCACGTTCCAGGCATTTTGCTCGAAGTTTCTCAATGGCATTGGTGGCCTCCATTGTGAGTGAACTGCAAGAAAGACTGACCCCTGTGGAAGGAGTGGGACTCAACAAACCCCCCCCACACACACACCCCTGAGTCCTCCCTTATGCCAATTCCTGACATCATGATGTCACTTGGTAATCCACCAGCCCCCTTCCCTTAGTCACAGTAAACTAAAGGACCACTATCCCCTCCCATGTACCCTGTGTACCCCTCTTCATCCTGGCTCCTCCTCCTTTAGAACTTTGTTTTCTAAACACACCTACATCAGGGCACGACAGTTTACCAGCCCTCCTCCCTTTAGCCCCTCCATGCAGAGCCAGTACCCTGTTTCCTCACCCGTAGTCCCAGGAGTCAGATGGCCGGTAGGCCTTCTGGTTCCTCCCTTGCTCTACAAAGTACAGAGGCCCAAGCTTTCTGGGCCTACCTCTTTGTAACCCAAGAGCCCAAAGCTGTACTGCTTTGAATCACACTTGGATAGGAGGGGCAGTATGGGTGAGCTCAGTACCAGGAATCCTATAAGTGTGTTGGGTTCACTCTGCAAGAGCCTGGGTAGGTGCCAGGATTCCTGGGAGGGGGTGTGGGATTGCCCACAGGAGGGTGGTACAAATAACTGCTTTCACAAATTCCAAGAAATGCAAACTCTTGTCGGTCCTTTGCCCAGGAAGTGGAGGTGTCTCCCTCCCTTTGCCCTCCCTCCCATACCTCCCACTCACCTGCGGCCGTTTTTTAGAGATTGTGCTGGCCTGAATGTTTCCACGGAGTTGTGTCCCAGCACCAGAAGTCAGCGTCCTAGCTGGCAGGGTACGTTGCTAAGGGACCAAGTGTCTACTGGGAACTGGGAGGAGTTATAACCCTCCCAGTTGTAACCCTCTCGGCACCTAGGGCCTTATGCCTGGAGCTGGCAACTCCAAGCTACTCTTGGGAGGTAAACAGTTGGATCTGACTTTCCTGGACTCTCCCCTCAGCCCTACCAGCAGTCCTCACATCTTTTCAAGTCCCTGCTGGAACCTTTGTCTCTTATTATTTCAGGCCCTGGGGCCACTGATGGGGGCTAGGTTTGGCAGTGGGCCAGACAACTACCCCACGTTCTAAGAAAGTACAAGGTGGCTGCAGACCAGGCCCCTGCAAAAATACTAACTTCAGCCCTGCCTTTTCCCTGAAGGATCCACATCATTTATTTAGCTGGCCTTGTGCTCAGTGCCACAGTGCCAGGTAGGGATGGCCTGGGGGAGAGAGGTAAGACTAGAAATTCTGTTTGAGTCCCAAATTAGAGGTAGGAACTTGGCTCCTAGAATGCCTGACCTGGAAGACTTCTGTTCTCTGGGCCTCCGTTCCCTCATTTGTAGAATGGGAGCATTTGGTGAAACCCTCTTTAAAAAGCTTCTCTCTGTTGGCTCCTAAATCCCAGACCCTGTGAGCCTTGCAACTGGAACACTGAACCCGAAGGGGCAGTTGAAGGACAAATACATCCCCACAGGGACAGAGATGCTGTGATTGCGGGCAGGTGACATGACTGTGTGACCAGGAAGTATGTGTGTGGAGGGGAAGGGGGGCATTCTCCCTGTGCTTTGGAATCAGCCAACTGAAATGTGGTTTAGTGAAAAGCATGTTGCATTTGGAGTCAGAGGAAGGATTGGGGTGTGGTTCTCTGCTCTGCTGATGACCACACTGTGTTACAGTGGCCATTAGAACTGGACTCAAGTTTCCCAAACTGTTAAAGAGAGGCAATGGCATTGAAATACCAAATATGGAGTGGCAATGACATCAGACAGTCCCTTAAGGAGGCCAGGGAAGACTAAGGACCAGTTTTCTGAGATAAACAGGTCCCTTCCCCATCCTCTTCCCCCCCCCCCATCAGAAACTTAGCCTAGATCCCTCCTCACCTTCTTAAGCAATGGCTCTTCTTTGGGTGAAGCTGAGGATGGATGCCCGAGCATCAGCACCCTCTTAGGGGGCCCAGTGCCCAGCTGACAAGAGAGGAATAGGATAGCCTAGGTCTGTCCCCTCGCCTCCCGCCTTATTCGTGGCAAGGGAGTCATCCCATTTGGTTCATTCCCAAGAGTCCTGCCTCCCCTTGTTACAAGTGTCAGAGGGCAGGCACCAGAAACCTCAACAAAATTAGAGGCCCCCACTTCGCTCTTTCTTCTAGAGTACAAAACAGGGACATTCTTCTCTTACAGAGCTAGCATTGTTAGCTAAAAAAGGCACTGTCACAACATCCTACGCAAATGCAGGTTGGGTGGGGTAGGAGGAGAGACTAGAGCTCTGAGAAGCTGTGTCCCAAGAGAAACAACAGTGGACTCAGAGGCAGGCAGTGTGGGTTCAAATTCTTGCTCTCGCTTGCTAGCCGTGTGACTTTAGACAAGTTATTTGCCCTCTCTGGGCCTACTTCTTCTATCGAATAGAAGGATTAGACTAGGTGACCTCTAAGGTCCTCCCCGCTCTGAATTGATGCCTCACTGCCCACTGGCACAACGGACCCTGTGCAGGACAGGCGAAGGCACAGGCAGCAGAACGCATGGGCCTCCGTTCCTTCCACCCACCTCATTTGTTGGATGGAGGATCAGGGGAACAGAAATGGAATTCCCCGAGTTAGTTGACCCCTTTTCCTTTTAATTGACCCCTGACAGCTGACTGTAACCCCCACCCCTCCAACCCCACCGTGTGCAAAGCCAGGGCAGATGTGAGGAGGCCCTGTGTGCTTTGATCAGAGAATTCAGGAAATGAAGTGGCAAGATTTTCTCCTTTTTATCGCTTTTATAAAAAGTGAAATGTTTATCCTCAAATGGGGAACTTCCCCTTTAACAGCTCAGTTTGAGAATGACCCCATAGAAAACAGACATGTAAAATATAGACATCTATTTGATATAAAAAAGGATTTCTAGTTGGCTACATAGAGCTGCATATAGAGCTGCCGCCCAGTCGGTATTCCCATGGTCTGTGCTCTTCCAAAGAGGTGTCCAGGTCAAATTCTGGTACCATCAACTCCAAATGAAGATTCGAATTCTTCTTTTAGGCTGGAATTCTGTTCCACTGAGTATCACCTGACATCAGAGTCATTCACCAGAGCATGGAAACCACAGTTTTCTTATCCAGAAGTTTTCCCTATAACAGGCTTTGAGGAAACCAGCTGGCTCAACATGAAAGGGTAGAGAAGTATAAGCCCTGGCCAAACCTTCCAACCATCTGATATGAATGGAGGTTAGTTGGGCTACTTGAGAAAACAACTCCCACTTGAATTTTTAAAAAACCAAGAACAAATGTATTTGAAAAAAGAGTATTTTAAAATACACTTAAACTGCCTAGTAAAGCTGATAGAAAAGTGTGAGTGGCTTAGAACACAGGCTCCATAGTCAATGAACAAACCTTTGGGTCCCAGATCACTATTACATTATTCAAAATAAGAAACTCCTTCTAATTCCTCAAGGAATTTCTCTGCTCCCTCTAGGGATGGCACTGTTTTCAAAATATGGATCACTGTCAAAGCTGCTAACAGGAACAGGAAACCAGCAGAGGGAATGGGGTAGGAGAAGAACCACAGGTTTTTTTTTTAAAAGCCCCAATAATCTGGAATAATGTGATCTTCAGAAACGCCAATCTACCTGCCCTTCCCAACTACACGTTGATTTTGCCTTTTCCAAGTCTGGAGTTTCTCCAGGACGGTGTTAACTCTGACTGGAGACTCAGTTCCCCCAAGAAGTCAAGTCCGCCATCAATAACCTCACTGCACTGTTGTACCCAGAAACCCTTCTCCAAACAGGACCTGGCTTCCAAGCCCGATTGGGAATTTAGACAAACTGCCCCCTATGGTCAAGCTCTATTTTTCCTTTAAACTTCTCTCTTACTAAGACATTGCTCCCCTCATTGAGATGCTAGTCGATGTTCACCCTGAGTTTGAAGGTCCTGCAGAGAGAAATCTTTTTAAGGGGAGGAGAGATTGAGGGTGAAGGGGGAAACTACATCCCTCACAGACCATGGCTCCTGCTCCTCTCCTGAAAGGCAGGTGGCCCATGTCTCAGTGAGGCGGGGCCAGGAACAGACCCAGAATGGCTTCTCTGAGGGACGACCCCATCCCCCAGGTTTTAATGGCTACCACCACAGGAAGAAGGACTGGACAGAAGCCTCTGGAGGAAGGGAGAGGCTGACAGGCAGGGCAGCTCACACTGTGGTTCCAAACATAGTCTGGTCCAAATCCTTGTCATCCAGGTCATCTTCACTCAGAGAGAAGGCCTGGCTGTTGGAGAGTGGGCAGGTAGGCCCATCAGTCTCGGGTGCACCATCAGGGAGCGGGGAACTGCTGACACTTGGTGGCCCCGACCTGGCCAGAGGGCCCAGCTGCTCCCCTTCAGCCATGTAGGCCAACAGGCCATCCAGCAGGGGCCGCCGCTGGCAGATTTTGTGCAACAGCTCACTGCGATGCTTCAGCTGCACGATCAGGGCGTCTTTCTCCTGAATCACAGTCAGGAGCTTCTGGACAGTCCCCTCCGAAGAAAAGAGCTTTTCCTGAAGATCTGCGATCTCTCTTTGCAGGAGTGGCGACACACACCAGGGAAAAAACAAAAAACAAAAAATCTTTTAGTCTCACTCAATTCAACAAACATCAATTAAGCCCCTACTATGTGTCAGACACGGCTAAGAGCTGGGAGTACAAAAGTAAAAATGAGCCTTCCCTGCCCTCAAGGAGCTTACATTCTATCAGAGAAGGGAGAAAGTACTAACCATGGGAGGAGGGAAAGGATAGACTTGCTTTCTATGGGAGGTGGCACCTAAGCTAAGCCCTAAAGGCTGCTCAGGATTCGAAGAGGCAGAGGATTCTGGGCACAGGGGGATGGGCAGCTCATAGGACTGAAAGGCAGAGGCTGGAGATGGGATGCCAAGTTTGAGGAATACCTAGTATTTGGCATCTAGCCAGAAGGTAAAGCATATGAAAGGGAATAAAGGGAAATAAGTCTGAAAAGGTAGGTTAGAGGCAGATGGTGAAGGGCTTTAAATGTCAAATGAGGAAACTGTATTTTTTCCAAAAGCAATAGAAAGTCACTGAAGATCAAAGGGGCTTGATATTCATGGTCAAACCTGTGACTCAGAAATATCCCTTCAGCAGCTGTGTGAAAGATGCACTAGAGAAAAGAGAGACTGGAAGCAGACAGAATAATGAGAAGACCAGTGTATAGAGTGCTTGGCCTGGAGCCAGGAAGACCAGAGTTCAAATCTAGCTTCAGACACTTACTTAGCTGGGTGGCCTTGGAGAAGTCACTTTAACCTCTACCTGCCCCATTTTCCTCAACTGTAAAATGGCACCTAACTCACAGGGTTGTTGTGAGGATCAAATCAGATCTTTGTAAAGTGCCTAGCACTGTGCCTGGCACGCAGTAGGTGCTTACTAAATGTGTATTTCCTCCCTTCCTAGTGAAAGTGAGAGTTGAGGAGGGCCGAAACTAGGGTTCTGGTTGCATAAGTATAGAGAAGGGGAACGACGTGAGGAGATAGAAATGACACGACAGATTTTATATAGAGAGTGTGAGGAAGAAAGAAGTGCCAAAGATGACTCAGACCCTACAGACCTGGCACCCTCAGCAGAAATCGAGAACACTGGAGGAAGGTGGGGTTGGGGCAAGACCATGAGTTCTGCTCTGGACATGTTGAGTAGGAGATGCCAATCGCATGTCTAGAAGCATGCAACAGGCAGCTGCTGACTCAGGCCTGGACTTCAGGACCAATTAGGACTAGGTAGCCAAATCTAGGAGTCATCTACCTGCATGGAGATGATAATTGGACCTAGGGGAGCAGATGAAATCACCTAGGAGAGTGAAAAAGAGAGATGAGGACGCAGGACAAAACCCCAGAGGACATCCATGTGCAGAGGGGAGAAGAGAGATGCTGAAGTAGCAACAGATCAAATCAAAAAATGTATATAAGGTCCTCTGCAAACCTTCAGGCAGGCTTGAAACAATTCACCCCATTCCAATGGGGAAAATCACCCCCTTCCTTGTTTACCCAGTGGAAATAATTACAACTCACATTTCTCTACTGAGTCAAGGTTTGCAAAGTGCCTTCCTAGCAATAACCCTATGAAGTAGGTAGTACACATATTTTTTACATTTTACAGATGAGAAAAGTGAGGCTGAGAAGTACAGTAACTTGAGCAAAGTCGAAGAGCTAGTGAGTGTCAGATCTAGGACTTGAACCCAAGTCCAGTGCTTTTCTCGGTACTCCACACTACTCTTCCTCCACTCAGACTACTCACATTCATTGTTTTAACTCCTCCCAACAAACCCTGGCCAGAGCCCAGCAAGGAAGCAAGCTTGCGGGCTGACACTTGTCCCTAGGGCCAGAGAAATGAGGACCTCATCCGAGACCAAGAACAAGAACAAATTGGGCATCTGGGGTTTAACCACCAGACACTAGAAGCAGCACCATCTGGTAAAAGAGCCCTGGTCTGGAAACTAGGAAACCTAGGAACTATTTGTGGCTCAATGTAGCCCAGGGGCCAATGTTTGACAGCTCTGCTCTAATCTAACTGGCCGCCACAGGCTTCACTTCTCTCTCCACTCCATCCTTTATGGACTGCTGCTTGAATAAGCTTCCTAAAACTCTATCCTCTTTTTAAAAAAACCTTCAGGGGCTTCCAACTGTATCTAAATAATTGCACACTGAATAAAAGCATAGAACATTATGTCCTTGGATTTGAGACCTCTAGCCTGGCCCCAAACTACATTTCCAGCTTTACTTCACTGGAGTCTCCTTTGTATAACATGACATAGCTAATTTGAATACTCCCATGCCTATTCCTAGTTCTCATCCTGCTCTCTCTCATCTGCCAGACTTTGATCACATTATTCTGCCCCTACCCCAATCATTTTAATCTAACACACTGAGCAATCTCTACCTAGTACAGGATTTCCTTTCTTTAGGAACTACTCTAGGGTCCACTTCCTCTAATAAACCTTCTTTGACCACCTCCCCCCCCCACCCCCACCCCCAATACCCCTCCTGCTGGAAGAGTTCTCTTCCTCAGATTTCTTAATGGTACTTTGTCCAGACCTCTCCTTTATGCTTATTCCATTCTCCCTTTTACCTCGGCCATCCATGTCTTCCCCTCTGGTCCTTAAGAGTGGGGCCTATGCTGTACTGCTATTCCCAGCGCCGAGCACATAGGATAAGGAGAGAGACCAGACGTGACTTCATCAGGATAAGAAAGTCCCAGGTGAGGGGACTCCTTTTACCAATGCAGGTTGGCAGCTTACAGTCTCAGAGGAGTTGCCTAGAGCACTAAGAGGTTAAATGCTTTCCCAAGCTTACTCAGCTATTGGGTATCAGAGACAGGATTTGATTCCAAGTCTTGCCTGTACCAAGGCTGGCCCTCTGTCCACTATGACAAGCTTCTTTGCATAAAGAAGTCACTTAAATGTTTGTGGACTTGAACACCTCAGGCAATTTTACAGCTGTAAATAGTCATTTACAATGACAAGATCACAAGTACTTACCCATGATAATAACATTCTTCCTTAGCCCCCTTAAATAACTAATAGTCTCCCCAATCCTTTCGGAAACCCCTTCATCCCCTTGGCTTCCCTCAGACCTCCTTTTCTGCTCCATCTCTTGGTCCCCGAGCTCCTCTCAGTTCTTTCAAGTCCTCTTAGTGCCTTCACGACCGTTCAATCCAGTCCCTCACTTTTCCCACCCCACCCCAGTCTTTAAGACCCAACTCCCCTATTACCCCAGCCCCCTTAGTTTCTGGATTCTTACTCGTTCACAAACTCTTGCTCAGTCTCCTGCCCCCCCCCCCCATATCCAGCTCATTTCTCTCCTTCCTCACAGATGCATTTCTCCCACTCCCAGCCCCTTCACAGTCCCCTGTCACTCCTCCAGCCTCCCACCACTCCCATGGTTGGCCCCCCTCACTATCCCAAGCCCCCTCACTGTCTCCACTGTTTTCTTCCTCTCAATCCTCCCATTATTCCCCTAGGCCCCTCTCTCAGTCCTCCCAGCCCTCCAACAAGTTCCCCAATTTCCCCCTTCCACCCCAATACTTCTCCCAGGCCCCTACAATCCCCTCACAGCCTTCCCAATACTCTTCCACCCTTCCTCATTATACCCCTCTCAGTCTCCCAAATACTCTTCTTCCCAGTCCCCCTAGCACTTCCCTGCCCAGCTCCCACAACATCAGATCTCCCAGCCCACCCCACCTCTCCTCTTCCCCCCCACCATCCTCTCCCAGCCTCGTCTCCACCCCCTTAGGCCGCGGCTCCCGGGCCTCACCGGTCCTTGGCCCGGCCCAGCTCCCGGAGCGCTCCGCGCAGCTGCTCGTCCTTGCGGATGAGACTTTCCGCCTGCTCCCGCACCGTGCGCTCCGCGGCCCCGAGCCGCGCCTCCAGCTCCGCCGCCCGCCGGTGTACGGCCGCCAGGTGAGCGTTCGCCTCCCGGATCTGCACAGGTGACGGGCCCGACATGTCCCCGCCAGGCCCCTCACCTCACTCCGGAAACCGCCGCCGGATCCAGAGACTCCGCCCCGCCCCCTCGTGGAGACCAATCACCGCTCACAACTCGACCAGTTGGAGCCAATCCACGCCTAACCATCTCCACAGGCCCCGCCTATTTGTCTCAACCAATCCTCACCCACGAACACCGACCAATCCCTGCTCATCCATCGCTACCATGCCAGGCCTGCCCCGTCTATTTCAGGCAATACCGCCCCTCTAATTTAGCCAATCCGCGCTTACCAGGCTTCTTTTTAATCAATACATGCCCACCCATTTCCTCCAGGCCCCTCCTACTCCAACCATCCCGCTGATTCTGAAAATGCTCCACCCCTACGACCAACTCCGCCCTCTTCATACAGGCTCCTCCCCCAATCTAGGCAGTCTGTGTCCGCGCAGGGGTTCTCAATAAAGTTAAGCAAGTTCTTTTCCCGCCCCCCCTAGCCGGCCTGACGTCAGCGCATGCGTGTCTCCCGCGGGACTTGGAGTAGCTGCCCTTGGGGCGGGACGAGGGGTGATCATGGCGTCTATACTGACGAAGGAATACTGGGACGTCCCCGATGGCACAGAATGCCACCGCAAGACCTATGTCACCACCAAGATGGGTGCTGCTATGGGTGAGGCCTGGGGGGAGAAACGAGTGCCACTGCTTGTGGTTATGGGGAGAAAGCGCCCGAGGGTCGGGGAATGAAGGGGAAATCCTCTGGGGTTACTGCATCCGGGTTATGGGGGGGTGAGGCTCCCCCCCTTTCCCGCGGTCACTGCTTCCAGGTCAGGGGGAGGGGGCGATGAATGTTCCTATGGGAATCAACTGAGCATTAGGGGATTCCCTGGGAGGAGGAAGAGAGGGGTCGCTGCATCTGTGTTTTAATGGCAATGAGCCCTCCCCAGGGAGGGATTAGGAGTGGGAAATCCCCTGGGGGACTCATTGAGAGTGAGGGGATGGGGGTAGTCGCTGCATCTTGGTTAGAGGACGTGTCCACCTGCATCTGGGCTATTGGAAGTGGGGAACCCCCCAGGGGAGTTACTGGGAGTGAGAGACCCCTGGGAGTCACTGAAAATGAGAACTTTATCTGGGGTGACATTGCATGGGCATTACTGGGAGCAAGGGGGCTCTCTGGGGATTATTACATCCAAGTCACATACATTTCAGGTTTAGGGTCCCTGTGAGAGCTGTAGGGAAGGAGGACAATATTAAGAGAGGATGATCAATTCTCTCTAGGAATAGAACTAGCCATTCAATTGACATTTATTCTTGAGGTCTTACACCCCAAATTAAATGCACAAGCCACAAGATTTGGATAACAAGCAAGATGAAAGAGAGATCTAATTCAGGGAGGTAAATTTGATGTTATAGGCATTACTGAGATGTGGAATGAGACCTATGGCTCTAGGTTTCATATGGTTCTGGTAAAGTGATTGAAGAAATTGAGTAGGATTGTGTATTAAAACTATATACTGACTTGAGAAATCTAGAAACCAGAGAGGTGAAGCATAGTGGAGATCATTCAAGTGAAGGTTCAGTGAAGGCAGAATTAGAAGAAAAGTTAACAGTATACTATAGACCATATGGATCAAAAGGAAAACTACAGGGGCAGCTAGGTGGCGAAGTGGATAGAGCACAGGCCCTGGAGTCAGGAGGACATGAGTTCAAATGTGGCCTCAGACACATAACACTTACTAGCTGTGTGACTCTGGGTAAGTTACTTAAACCCAATTGCCTCACCAAAAAAGAAAAACTAGATGATTTCTGGCCACAAAACTGTCATGGAGACATAATATGATCAATTACCCAGATATCTGCTAGAGTTCTTTTTTCTGAAAGCAGAGCTACTAAGAAATTATTGACTTAATGATTTAATTCTTCAAAAGATGGTGAAAATAATTAAGGGAGCTATTCTTCTGAATCTAATTCTAACCAGTGACCTGGACATCCAGAAAAGGTAAATGAGCCATATTAAAATTTGTGCTAGAGGAAAAAAGGAAAACCAGGCATCATGTGACCTGAACTGGAGACTTAGAAGCATGGATTTCAGAGAGTAGCATGATTAGCATTCCGTGGTCTAAAAAATCTGCAAAAGAGTTAGATACAAACAAAACTGTTCCAAAAAGGAAGAAAACAGGCAGCTGCCTAAAGATGTTGATATGGGGAAATCATTGACCCTATTCAGATTTTTTTTTTGAAGGGTTTGTGTAGATAATGGGGCACCTAAATGTTGAGGTGAAAAGAGTGAATAGGTGAATAGACTCCACCCCTGCAGTCAGGAGGACTTGAGTTCAAATTTGGCCCCAGGTAGTTACTAGCTGTGTGACCTTGGACAGGTCACTTTACCCCTGTTTGCCTCAGTTTCATCTGTAAAATGAGCTGGAGAAAGAAATGGCAAACCACTCCAGTATCTTTCCCGAGGAAGCCCCGAATAGGTTCATGAAGAGTTGGACGGGACTGAACAAGAACAACAATAGATGATCAGTCAAGGACAAGTAGCAAAAAACAAATAGAAGTTATAAAGCTCCTCAGTGGGTGGGGGAGGGGCTGGAAGGAGGGAGAGAATTCGGAACTCCAAGAAAAGGTTACCAGAATTGTTTAAAGCTTCAGCTTAGTTCAGACTGGCAGTAGATGCAAAAGACAGCAAAATAGCGTTTCTTAGTTATGTTGGAAGCAAAAGGGCAATGGAGACCTAGCAGTGCTTAGAATGGATTGAATAATGGTAGTGGCCAACAGAAAACCAAACCATAAAACTTTTATTTTGCTTCGGGAGTGGGGGCTGAGGTGTTTCCTCCCAAAGAGAATGATCTTTGAACTGGGAAAGCTAAACCAAAACTAGTTAGAATAGGGCATGGAGACCAAGATCCTACTCTTCCTTTCAGTCAGTGAGATCAGAGTGAGGCTTAAAATAAACCCCATCCTTGACCACTGAGAAAACAGTAGGCATGTGTGATTGCTGAATTCCCAGAAGAGATTTTTGAAAGATTTTGAAAAATAGAAGGAAATGGTACAGGATTGAAAAAAAGGCCAATCTTTACTGTTTTTTTCCAGTTCCTGGCAAAATTGTAGGACATTATTAAAGGGATGGTTTGTGAGCACTTAAGAGAGAAAGGAATCAACAAGAGAGAGTATGGCTTTCTTTAGAATAAGTTGTCTTAAACTAAACATATTTCTATTTTTATACCATACTAGACATTAGCTCAAGGGATTGCTATAGACCAGGCCTGCACAACATGCAGCCCTGTATGTCTATAGACATAGATTACCTTGATTTCAAGAAAGCATTTTGATAGTTTCTCTTGTCCTTGTGGGAAAGATAAAAAGATCTGGACCATGCAATAAAGGTACATGGATGTGGACCTCATTGAGTGACCACACCCAAAAATAGTCATTAATGGCTCAAAGTCTCTAATAGAGAGGTCTCTGGTACAATAGTATCCCACGAATCAAGCTTTGCCTTAGTGCTGTTTAACATATTTATATGTCTGTGATTTGGATAAAGGTATAATTCAGATTTATCAGATTTGCAGATAACACAGACCTGACAGGGATAGCTCATAAACATATTAGACAACAATGTATTAAAAAAGAAAGTATCCAAAAAATACAACTAGGCCAATGTGCTGAATCTTACAAAATGAAATTTAATAGAGATGAATGTAAACTTGATTTTCCGACTCTTAAGTATAAGATTTTACAATTTCAAGATGGAGATGAGTTGTGGCTAGACAACAGTTGGTATAAAAAGGTCTAGGGCAGGGGTGTTTAACTTTTATGTGTGTCATGGACCCATTTGGCAGTCTGATAAAGCCTATGGATCTTCTCAAGATGTTTTTAAATGCATAACATAAAGTACACAGGATTACAAAGGAAACCAAAGGTTGGTGAAAGTCAAGATGTAATTTTCTTGCCACAAAAGTTGATGGGTCCTTGAAATCATGAGACCTTTGGGGACCTCAAGGTAAGAACTCCTGATCCAGAGGTTACAGTAACTACAGACTCAGTGTGAATTAACAGTGTTAACTGCTGCCAGAAAAAAAAAAGGATCCTAACCTGCATGAAGAGGCAGCTGCTGCTAGGGGGTGCTGTAATGCATAGCGTGTAGCCTGGAGTTGGCAAGACCTGAGTCCAAATCCTGCCTCAGACACTAGCAGTATGATGCTGGCCAAGTCACTTAACTGCTGTCTCACTTTCCTCATTGGTAAAATAGGACTAATAATAACTCCCACCTCCCATGGTTGTTGTGCTTCTAAAATGAGATAATTGTAAAGTTCTTTGCAAACTGTGAAGTGCTATATAAATACTAACTGTCCTTGTTGTTGTTATATAGATAGACAGACCGATGAAGCATTTATTAAGTGCTCATTCTCCTTGACCTCTCCACAATCTTTGACACTGTTGATCACAGTCCTCTTTGAAACTCTGCTGTAGCTGGGTTTCCAGGACACTGCTGTCTCCTGGTTCTCATCCTGCCTCTTTTACCATTCCTTTGTCTCCTTTGCTGTATTCTCTTCCAGATCACGCCCTCTAACCACAGGTGCCCCTCAGGGCTCTGTCCTGGGCCCCTTCTTCCTCTGTGCTGCTTCACTTGGCCATCTCATCAGCTCCTATGGATTTAAGTGCCATCTCTATGCTGATGATCAAATCTGCCTGTCCTACCCTGGTCTCCCTGCTGACTTCCAGTCTCGCATCTCCACCTGCTTTTCAGACATCTGAAACTGGATTCCAGGAGACATCTTAAACTCAATGTGTCCAAAACAGAATTCATTATCTTCCCCGCTAAACCCTCCCTCTGTCCTACCTTCCTTGTTGTGTAGAAGGCAGCACCATCCTCCCAGTCCTTGAGGGTCACAATTTAAGAGTCGTCCTGGACTCCTTGCTGTTTCTAATCCCCGCCCCTCTCCCCATATCCACCTTCTTGCCCTGTCAATTTAGCCTTTGCAGCATCTGTCCAATAGGCCCCCTTCTCTCTCTGACACAGCCACCACTCTGGTGCTGGCCTTCATCCCCTCACACCTGGACTATTGTAATAGCTGCTGGTTGATCTACCTGCCGTGAATCTCTCCTCATTCCAGTCCCTCCTCCATCCAGCCACTAAAGTGATTTTCCTAAGCAGGTCTAATCACAATATCCTCCTCCTCCCCACAGTAATCTCCTGTGCCTTCCGATTGCCTCCAGGATTAAATACAGAATGTTCTGTTTAGCTTTCAAAGCTCTTTAGGACCTAGCTGCCTCTTGCCTTTCAAGTCCTCTTACACTTTATTCCCCAACATGGATTCTTTTATCTGCTGTTCCATGAGCAAGACATTCCACTTCTCAGCTTTCTGTGGCTGGAATGCATTTCCTCCTCTGCTATGTCTACTTCCTTTCTTCCTGGCTTCCTTTAAGTCCCAACTAAAATCTGATCTTTTCCTGGAAGTCTTCCCCAACCCTTAATTTATTGCTTTTCTTCTGTTAATTATTTTTTCTTTATCCTGTATATTTATCTGTATATAGCTTGCTTTGTATACATTTGTTTGCATGTTGTCTTCTCCCCTCTCCCTCCTCCCCACTGCCAGACAGTGAGCTCCTTGAGGGCAGGGCCTAGGTTTTACTTCTTTTTATATCCCCAGTACTAGCATAGTGCCTGGT